GACGGGTGTGTTGCGGGTGTCAAAACCTGCCAGCACCCGCCCTCAAAGTTTAGCTTTGCTGCTAAATAGACCATAAAATCTGCACTGCATCACAGAGAGACCAGGACTAAAAGTGACTGCAGCCTAGTACGCATCTGCAACTCAAGAAATGCGTATGTTTTCAATATTAGCTGCTCTTCCCTAAAATATTTAGAAATTCGCTGGAGCAATTCCATAGCCCACTTGGACTCACTCTAAAACTGTCAGCAATCATGAGACAATGGCACAAAATGATTCTGATAAACTGAAATTTGGCAGTAACTGGCAGAGACGCCCAGTCTGGGGTCTCAGGTAGGCCACCAGTGAAGAACTGAAAACTGGGGATTGCTGCAGCTGTTACTGTGTTACAGCTGTACCCAGTTACAGCTTCCTGCAGTTAACCGAAGTGTTAAACGGCTGCCCTTGTGGGTTGTGGAACCAGCTGGGAATCCTGTCCCTGCTGAAGGGAAGAGCGATGGCCTGGGTGCTGCCGCGGCTCAGCTCAACGCATGCAGGACAGACAGTGTTGGCTGGCTGGCGCGCGTGGGGCACGGGGCTCAGACGTGTGGCCAGCTTCCTTTCCATTCTTAAAGGGGCTTCCAGGTGTCACACGACCAGGGCCAACAGAAGGGACAGGTGGTTGGGAACACGGAGGAGAGGAAGGAGGAACACGTACCTCCAACCTGCAGCAGCTCTCCGCTTCCTCTTCCGTATCTGCGCACGCTGTGCTCAAAAGCTTCTTTCAGCGTGGAGCCTTTTACCCTTACCAAATCAAAACGACCTCCAAATGGCAAAACAGACAGCAAGTCTTCCACAGTGATGCTGCCTGGGGGAATGAGAAATTATTTACTTTTGTTTTGTTTTTTTTTAAGTTCACAAAATTATTTTAGGATCGTTTAACAGTACATTTTTGACAAGGAATGTGGCAAATACAATATAAGAAAGTGAGGGCCAGTAGAGGTAAGCATCACGTATATTGTCCCAAGCAAAAAACCTGCGTCTGTACCATCCAGCAAGTATCAAGACCAATAAATCTGAGTTTGATGTAACTGCATGTATTGCTATTCAAATAACTCTGCTAGAAGAGATCACAAACCACCAACCTAAGACGAAGAAACACAGCTATTCTTACGAAGTCAGGCAATTTTTCCAGTTGCTTAAGACTTACTCACGTAGTCCTACAGAAAGATTTAGCTAAAGGTGTTGGTTTTCAGGTTTCATTTATGTGATACTGGAAAATAAAAACTGTAAAACCTTAGGGTTCACAAAACCCCAGAATACACTTATTCTGCAGCAGACTACAGAAAGCTCCTAGCGACCGTACCGGATGACCCTGTAGTGTAGGAGGCGAAGAATGTCCCCCGTCTTTCTTTGTTCCAAGGCAGCAAGGAGAGAGGGAAATTATAAAAAGCATTGTGTACAAAGAATTCCAGTAACTTCTGCTAATACCAGCCCAAGTGCAGTTGTACCCTAAAGATGGGTAACCATTTGAGAAAGTTTGAAATTGCTTCCAAACACTGTGCCAATCCCACTGAAACAAGCCCGTACCTAACACTGTGTTCAGGCTTGCATGACAGCTTGAGTCTTCCTTCGTGATAAAGCTGTCATTCAGCTCGTAATGTTACGCACCGTTAGCGCTCTGCTCATCGATGGGCGACCGTATCCCGCCTCCATTCAGGATGCACATTGAAACGTGGTTCCATGACTTTTCATCCGGACGTCCGACATTCTCATAAAGCTACCAAAAGAAAATGTTTAAAGGGATTCTTTAACCTTCACTTCGTCTAGGCTTCGGAAATATACACCCAATACAAACTGAGACTGAAAAGAGACAGAAAGGTTTTATATCTTCTTTGGCACTACCTTCAGCCCCACTGTAAAATACTTAATTATTAAAAAAAGGCAAGGCAAAACATTAAAATAAGTATTTTGCTTCTTTAAACTTTTAACGAGAAAAATATGTGCCTTTTTCTGCAATGACCTCTCAGGCTCTCCCGTAGTCAGTGTGTATATGACATGGCCAGGGCAGGCCAGCTGAACAAAGCAAGGATGATTTTTTGATTCCAATGACTGTGATAAAGACAAATGATTTCAGCATATTTGGAGAATCAGGAAGTGAAGAGGACCTTAAATATAGCTGTACTTTAAAAACATGTAGGGGAATGTATAAACTAAGCTAGCTGTTGTTGTATGTTACAAGGAATTAAGATTTTTTGGCTTAACTGAGATCAGTTTTTAATATTTGGAACGGTCTTGGCAAACTAGAAAGATGTAGAAGAGTGGCGGAAGAGGGAACAGGCATGCTGGATTGAACCCAAAAGTCTACTCTGCACAGCATTGTGTCTCCAACAGTGGCAAGACTCTGACAAAATGCAAGGACAAGATAATATTTGCTTGCGGCATCCTAAGTAGTAAAGAACACAGAGACGAGGGATGTACTCAGTTGCATAAGGACAATAAGCCTACAGTGTTAATTCTCAGAAATAACTGAGTAGGACAGGAAAAGGCTGAGAAAAGAAACAAGGATAATGGAAGGGATGGACTGGGTTCCATGCAGGAATGACTATGGTTATGACTCTTCAGTCTCACAAAGAGAGAAACTCAGGAAGGACACAACAGAAATCTATAACATCAAGACGAGCACATGGAGGCTGGGTAGGAATCACACTGTTTTCTGGTTTTAATAACGATAAAAAACTGAGAAAGATTTAGAGAGGGGTGACAAGGATGATCCAAGACAGGAAAGCTTCTGAACTTTAGAATGATGGTGTAGGCTCAGACTGTCTGACCTGGTAAAGAGACAATGGAAGGAAAATATTTGAGAAGCCCATAAAATCATGAGCTGTGTGAAGAGGGTGGACAGAGACCAACTGTTACAGTGCAAGGACTACTCCTCGGCCTCCAGCAGGCATCCAGCCGGTGGGCAGCAGGCTGCACACAGACAAAAGACCAAGGTCTCTGCGGGATGTGCAGGTCAGTGGTGGAACACCCTGCCACCGGCTGTTGCGAAGCCTGAAAGCAGTCAAAGGGAGATGGGGCAAGTTTGGGGAAGAGAAGTTCCAGTGGGAGCTAGCAAATACCAAGACACCACTTCTGAACTGGGAAGTCCCTGAGTTGCAAGCTGGTGGGAGATGGGGACAGATTTGAGTATAGCATCTCCACAGGCTTGTCCAGGAGTACGCTCTTTCCTCACCATCCTCACTCGGTCGCTCTTGGAGACAAGGCGTAGGGATGGTCGGTCCCGTCCCCTGTTCCAGTCCGGCCACTTCTCTGCTGCACCCCTGTGCTAAGTGTTTGCAGCCTCTGACTTGCAGGTGTGTAAACGCTCCGTGGCTCCAGCTGAGTGACCAAAGCTATCCCCTATGGCCAGATCCATGGGATATTCTTACGTTCATAATTCACAATCAATGAATGGATTGCAACTCTCTCGTCCTGAGCAGAGGCAGTTTAAAACAAGAGCTGACACAGTGCTGTTTTCACAATTTCACAGCCTTTTCACATCGGAGTTCCTTTAAAGCTCTTTGTAAAAGGCCATCTGGGTCTGTCAGCCTTTTATTCTGAGATTCTGGGCTACTGTTGGAGAAGCATCACTGAACTAAATGCACCTCTGTTGTGACCCAGTACAACCATTCTATCAGTCTTCTACATTTCTCAATGTCTGCGTTTCCCAGGACAACTCTAAATACTAAAGCCCATGGAACAGGCAGGTCTGGTTTTCACCTTCACACCCCTGAACACCTGGCAGCAGACAGGAAAGCAAGTGCAGAACTGGTAAGGCAAAGACCGTGAAGGGTAGTCCATGTATCTGCTGATGACTGCAGACAGTTGTCTAGGGACATCGATTTGACTAAAGTAGAATTTGACCTCCCAAGACAAAATGTATAGCCAGAAAACCGACAGACTACTGAAAGATCACAGAGTTACTTTCTCTAAGCTTGAAAAGTGCCAAAGCATTTGATCACATTTTTCAAATAAAAACATAAAAAAGTCTAGCAGGAAGAAAAAGCAAGGCGCTGGAATTTTAGTAGACCTGTATGCAGAATTCCCAACTCTTAATCTAATTTGGAAAATAGCCCATGAACTAAGAATTATTTTAAGGATTAGAAAGCAATCTCATGGACTGGATAAACAGACCTGGGGACACATCTAAATGAAAACTCATTAACTGGTTCCTGACTTTGTGACAATGCTGCAGGACGTTTATGGCAACGCTCATTTTCTGGAAACAGTCCCGTCTGTGAATGTTTTTCCCCGGCGCACTCAAAGGAAATGGTGCCACTGCGGGAGAGTAAAAGAATCTAAACCTGCATAGTTTAACAGGTGGAAGTGCCTTCTCACGAAGAGGCCTTCTGGTGTTGCTTGACTGTTCAATCCCTGTGATACCTGTCAGGATGCAGCAAGGGCCGGAGGCTCCCTCTGGGCTGGGCTGCTGGGGGCTTTTACCTCCTCTGCGCCCAGCTGGGTGTACGGCCTTCCCCGCTGTGGGCTTTTCCCTCCTCTTCGCCCAGCTGGGTGTACGGCCTTCCCCCCTCCTCCTCTTCAGAGGGCACCTTCGGGGCTCTTCAGGGGAACAAGTCGTATCAGTAACTCGGCAGAAAACGACCCAGATTTTTTTTTCTATGCTAGTGCATTAAAAAAAGCAGCAGAAGAGCCCTGTGAGCAATGGTGGGGCACAAGGTAAGGAGGGTCCGGCAGCAGGGCGGGAGCCGAGCTCTCCTCCTTGCCTGAGGAACAGGCTCTTAGATCAGACTGCCCCGTCTCTTAAAGCTGCAGCCTCAGAGCCCGCTGTCAACCAGCTGCTCTCTACATGAGGCCACAAAGATACACGCACACAGAATAAACCGCTCCTGCCTCCATGCAGCAAGGTTCATGACAGCCTGCCTTCCGCCAGATCCTTCTAGGTGCTACGGTGTTGGAAAGCGGCAGGGAGCCCATGCGCTGATAGTTTGGAGCTGGGGAACATTTCGTCTGACAGCCGGGGCACAACGCTTAGAGGTGACTGATTGCCACCTGTGGTGGCAACGCCTTACCGCAGCATCGCAAAGCAAATTCCCCATGTTACATTCGTGGAAACGGCACGCTTGGCTTGTACCGTTCAGGTAAACACTAGTTTTTCCAATCTCTTCAGAATAATTCCCCAGGTTTTTCCTCCATTTTTCTACTTCTTCTTTAATGTGCTCATCTATAAAGTAGTATAAAAGTGTAAAATAAGCATCACACGTATCTCATATTAGTGACACTTTGCTGAATACAAAGCTTAGGAAAAAAAAAACCTCTGCTCTTCACGATTCTAAAATGTTACACTTTTTTTTTTCCCTACAGGCTCTTTGAGCAGCATGAACTCTGCGCTCCCTTCACACAAAGCCTGGCAAGGGAGCAGGCAGGATGGGACAGCCAAGTGAACAAGCTATTCCTGTGCCACAGCAAGGTTCTCTCCTCTAAAACACTTAAAAATACTTTTTTCCCAGTCCTGTTCTAACCTCTGACCAATGGGGTTTCTAGCACCTACCTCGACAGGCGAGAGAATTTTTAATATACAAGTGAAATTGTTCTTATTTGACATCATATCTTTTTTCTTTTTTTTTTCTTTTTCTTTTTCTATTTATAGCTTCCTCCCCTTGAATGCAGTCCTAAAAGGAATACTAGCTCAAGTATCAGTGTCAAGGAACAAACCCGCAGATCTATCTGCCGGGTGCAAATCTAATTCTTTCAGAAAAAAACGCAGATACCAAGATACTTGTATATACAGACAGACAACGACACAACTGGTTTATGTCAGCTATTAGTTTTAAGCAATTTGCCACGTAACTGTCAGCAACAGCAACATTTATAGAACAAGAGCACCTACATATCTGAATTTTTGCTTTTACTGACATCAGAGAGAGAATGTAAAGTCTCTTTACATCTTCTCATTACATTAACAGATCACTGAGAGTAACATGGTAAATAAGAATATCCATGAACAAATGATTTTTAAAGGATTTATTTTATAAATACTCTGGTAGAACCTAGAAAGTCTGACAAAAGCTCAGAGCTTCATACAGCAAACGCTGAACAAGCAACAAAGACTGGAGAACCAGCCCCAGGGAATTACAGAGCTGACAAAAAGCAGGTAAGAGAGCTCCGACAGAGTCACGAACAGAAAGCAACAGAGAGACTCTCCTCCTCCTGGTCCTTTGAATGTTTCAGAGCTGAAACATTCAACACCCTCAGCACTGAAAACAAGAAGTCGTGGGTTTGTATATTATATTTGCACGTTGCCAGAGTATTCCAGTTTTTTTCTGGAACATTGCCAGTTTGCTGCATTGCCCTAAACTCTGTTCCAAAGAACCTAGCCTCTGGCAAAACAGTGTAAATTAGTCCTCATGATCTCTTAAATCTTAATTACAGGGCTAGCTAAAATAGACTCTTCTAAATGGTGAGGCAGTGTATCACCTGAGTTCCTACAAAAGGACTTCCAGTGATTTTAAATAGTCAAAAACCTAAACGGAGTTTGTACATATCCAAAGGCCGCTGTTCAGATTGAGAAACAGAAGCAAATGGGCACAACTGCAACCCAACCCGAACCCTACACAGAGGAGAACTGCAAGCTCAGGAAGAAAGCTGAATTCTTTTGCGACAGTCCTGTATATTTGACATAATAACACTTGAACTGTAGTGCTGCAGGCAGATTCACGTCTCGGCCACTTACCTTCGGGAACACTGCTGTCCAGCAGAATGGGGTTTCCAACTGCTTCAACTACATTCCCATTCTTGTCAAACACAACATTTAAGTAACCAAGATATTTCCCGTAAGCATAAGCTTGTACAACTGGCACCTGCCTCCCATCATCTGAGTCAACCATGAACGGATACGGGCCAGATGGCTGTTCAGTAGAGGGTGGGGTGCCTGCACGAAAAGAGCACGTAAAGCGGGTCTTCAGCTCATGTGACCTTCAAGGAATTATTAGAATGGCATTTCAAATGTTTCTCAGCCTTAAAAAAACCAAATAGGATATTAAGCAGAAACAACAATGAATGTATTGGACGACAAGCGCACATGTGATTGTTCAGTTACATTATTTCGTAAGAGACAGTGTTGTTTTCAGGACTTGAGCTCTAATAACTGCCACAGTGTTTTTTAAGTTGTGGCAGCAGACTCCTCCGTGACATCATATCACAACAGCAACAAAGGAACTTTTCATTCCAATTATTTCAGTCTGCACCTCTCAGTAATGCACACACCCCAGCCTCTGGCTGAAAAGTTTCTTGTTAAGCCTTCACACTACATTATTCTGCATCAGATAGAAAATTAGAACATTAGTAAAACATACACAGGACTTCCTGACATGAAAAAGTCTAAACTATTTTTATTGATAATCTGCAGTCAGAATACCTAGGAGCAGTTCTGTGAATCTGCGCATACACCAAACTGATTTTTTTCTTTACTATAACAAACTTAGCCTCCAAAATTTCAGACAGGCTGCAAACCTTTGGAAAGCAAACTTCATTAGCATTAGAGTTACGCGGTCGTGGATTTAAAACTCTTGACAGCCTGCAAAGTTTGAATTGTGATTAGATGTAGGACTTGGGAACAGACAGATTAAAGCACAGCATTTAGGGAGAAAAGAGATCTCGGCTCAGCGGACATGGGCTGCCACAGGATTTAGAAACCATGCAGGGGAGGAAAGTGGCAAAGGAAACTACACAGCACAGCTCTTGTCTCAAGGGCACCCGCCTTCTCCCTGTCTCCTTGTCAACGTCACCCGTGCAGCATCGCTCCCCATTGCTCCTGTCAGTATTTCTACCCCACCGTTGGCAGAGACCATGGCCAGGGGGCTCGCCAAGGCCTCAAGTGCTGCGTGGCCCGCCCTGGTCTGAGCCCCTCCAAGCCTGCTCAAGCGCCCAAACCTGCTCTCACTCCCATCCCAACCCCGGTGGTGTTTCCCACCCCTGTGTCGGCGAGAGCTGGGGGCCGGTGGGGCCGGAGCACGGGGCGGCCAGCGCAGAGGACGTGGATCCGGAGGAAAGCAGGCTCCTCATTTCCACTGCTCACAGAACAACCGGTTTCCTTCCACTTACAGTTGTTTATGTAACACAAAATCCCGGGATAAGCAGCACAACAAATGTTCCTCCTAGAACGCCAACATGATTGGTATTTATCTCCGATCCCACCTCTTCTCCAGGGAGAATGGCTGGAACAAACTACAACCTGAACCAAATTCACCAGAGAACTAATTTTTCTACTTTCAGCCTGGCCACCAGAGTTGGTTTCTTGGTGGTGCCTCTTCACTATTCGATATTTATTTTGGGAAGAATTTAATAAATCCCGTAGCTAATGAGAACTCTGCAGGATTTACACATGCAGAAGTGGCTTAGGTTTTTTTGGAACCAAGTAAGGAATCGCTTTTGATCTCTTGCCACTGTGTAGTCCTCGAACGAGCAGAGCATTAGCAAGAGAAAGTTATGCTTTCCGGTCATCATCTTAGTTTACATCAGCTGCGCAACGTTAAGTGCTTGTCCAGAGCCTTATTCATTTCTTGCTTTCTGAGAAACACTCTCTCATACTGATGCTTTCTTGAAGGATTAATTACCACTACAACATTATTCCGTTATAAGGTAGATGTGTTCCTTCTGAAATGAAAAGACTTTTCAGTGCTTCTTATGCCTGAAGAAAACAGCACTAGAATTCATGCACGCATCTCAGTCAGCATGTGAGATGCTGTTTCATTGCAAATGCACAAATTCATACCCGGTAACCAAAGAACCTGTAACTCTTTCCTATTTTCTTAATTTGTTTTAGCCTACACACTATGTTCTCAGAACATCAGAAATTCAAACGCTCTAACCCAAAACTACCATTACTGTTTGAATCAGTTCTACAAACCCAAAGCACACCTGAACAAGGCAAGACAACATTTGCCACATAATCTGTGGATAAACCGGAGATTTGCAAATGTCTTAGAGACAGACAGGCTGGACTAGTCCAAGATTAGGCCCTTCTAATTAAGATATCTCTGTGGGGGTGCCTGCATGGGCAGTACGTCCCTCAGCTCCCCTGACAGCCAGAGGTTCAGCTGACCAGCTGGTACGTTTCCACTTGGACTGCTGCCAGTTATTAATTACATCTCTATTTATTTAAATGAGAGCTTACAGGCTTAATGTACACATAGACACGCACACGGAGACACTTAAAATTAAATGTTTCACTCTGCAGTCAAATCACCTCCACAGATGTGGCTACTTCATTGTGAATGTTGGCTGATGGCTTTGACTCAGAAGGGAATGGTTCACAAATGCACTCGTGGTGCCCCTGGATGGATCAGCAAGTGCTTCTCAGCACTTGGAATAAAAACTATAGACTCAGACCACGTTCTGTCAAAAAACATATTTTGACTAAATAAGTGGATACACATTTTTTGGTGTATCTCCCCCAGATATTTCTTCTTCTTTTTTATTTTTCTCACCTCCCCGGTGTTAATAAAAAAGTAATACAGACTTGTTTTATCGAAAGAGTACAGCCCTTGGAAAAGGGGGTAGATTTGAGCACAGCATCTCTACAGGGTTCTCTGCGCTTCCCTCACAATTCCCTCGCTGTCACTCTTGGAGAAGAGATGCTTTGTGTCATAAATTATTCCCTAGGCCAACTTCAAGAGATATTCTGAACTGTTTAATGTACAACTGTAGCATGCAATTGTTTCTCTTTAAGAAGTGGGATAGTAAAAGGTGGGAGCCCAGATGAGACAAAAAAGGCATGAGAAAGCAAGAGGAGATGAGTGGGAAGAGGAGAGGATGAACTGGACGGTGCCAAACTTTTAAGGGGTGAAGATCCTAGGGTATGTGGTACTACCCCCATGACTGGGGTACACAGGAAATTCGGCTGAAAATTGCAGAGAGTTCCTGCTATATTCTCAACCAGTTAATGAAGTTTCTGCTAAATTTAATGAGCTACCTTTGATGGTTTAAAAAAAAACAGCCTTTCTTTTACTTGTGTCCTTATACCCTGGCACAGGGAAGGCAGCGGCACTGGAGAAGCTGCTGGTGGCAGGTTCTACCTAGAGCAGCATTGCTGTGTAAGAAATCAGATCAACAGTGTTTATCTCTGGAATAATGTCTAAGTCTAGGGGAAAGAAGACTAAAGTCAGAGATTAAAAGAGGGACTGAAAAAGACAGAGGAAATCTGGGAAAAGTTTTCTAATGACAGGGCTAATGGAGACCTATGAATACAGGATCAGATTCTACGGAAAATCAACATTGGTATCACTTTTGAAGTCTTATATGATGGGGTTTTTTTGGTTAAGTCACATACAAGGTTAAATGTAAACAACTTGTTTACTCCTTTAGATGTGTGAGCTTGAAACAGGTACAATATGTTTGGCAGTAATTTACCGGTATTACTACCTTTGTTCCTCTGTCCTGCTTAGTATAGGTGACCTTGAACACTCACAGCATTAAGGAACCTTTCAGTGAGTTAGCGCATTCCTTGGTCACAGACTGTTTTATATTCTTCCATGGAAGTTATGGACAGGTACCAGCTATGCATCTGGCCCAGCCCAGCCAGCAGTAAACTACATCAGTCAAAGTTCTCTGAGTTTAAAGAGAAATAACCAGTTTCAGCTTTGCTTTAGAAGATACATTTTAATAAGAAGTAAAATACCTGTATAGAGAAATGTGTTTGTATGTCCTCCAATTACAACATCCACTCCTTTCACTTTCTGGGCAATATTCTTGTCCACAGTAAAACCAGAATGTCCTAGTGCAATGATTTTGTTCACTCCCATGGCAGTAAGTTTATTCACTTGTACTTGCAATGCTTCAATTTCATCTTCAAAGATTATATCAGTCCCTTAAAAAAAAAGAACAAACATGAATATACTTACAAACTAACTTAATTACTAGTTTTTAAAAAATAATGTAGTTGATATCGGATACTGTTTTGTGTAACTAATGGAACTTCGAATGTCAGTGGCTTTCAAATGTGCTCAGTTGGTTCAAGCTCCTGATCTGGTCTGATGTTGTCCAGTCTTTCAGGAGCACCTGTGTGCTTAGACTAACACAACATTCCTGCACTCACCTGTATATACTTATCTGTATTAAACAAGCTGTAACTCCATAAAAAGCCCAAAACCAGTGACACCAACTGTGGGATCAAATACTGAATAAGTGTTTGAGTCTAAACACTCACATTGTACTTTAAAGCTTTTTTACTTCCCCAATCACACTTCTTTGAGGTCTTCTGTCTTCTCACACTCATCTCATTCTCCACTTCCCCCCCCCCCCCCGCGAGACTTTGAACAGCAGCTTCTTCAGAGTCCTGCACTAAACTCTGAATGACCTTTTTATACAATTTCTCTCACCTAACGTAAACCACTCTCAGCAATACCGATGCAGCACAGTGTACAACTGAGCTACTGTCCTGAAATGAGACTGTAAAGAATGGGAAGTCTTGAAAGAAGAAACCTTTTCCGGACCACAATGTCGGGAAACTCACAATCTTTCTGCAAGGTTTCTGTGCCCGCTGAAATGATTCTAAGACGACAAACAGTTACAAGAGCACTAGATAAACATGTGCTTTTATCCTGGGCATAGGGTTGCGCAAAAGGACCTCCTATGTAAGAGGCTAATTTCTTTGACAAAGTTTTAAGAACAGAGTCAACAAACTGTAATCCTAAACCCTCTGGTGAAGACAACCAAGGAAGAATTCCCCTTCTACCTATTTCCTCTCCTTCCTGTAGTTTTTTGATCAAACCATTTTGAAATATGCCTTTAAAGACAAAAGATTTACATTATTTCATAACAAAGGGAGGAGTGAAACAAATTCACAATCCAGTGCAAGATGTCTCAGGAAACGAAGAGGAAGCCGATACAATGGAAGAGATAAAAGAGGGTTACATAAACTGGTTTACCACCACACCCACTGAATAGTTCTGTTACTGCCAGAGGGAATCTCTGTACTGCACACTGCAGAGTGAATTGTGCAGCGCATCCCCGCATTTTCTTCCTGTGGACTTCTTCTTAGAATCAAAGAGTCATAAGTTAATTGAGGTTGGAAGGGACCTCCGGGGGCCATCTAGTCCAAAACCCGCTCAAAGCAGGAACTCAAAGCCAGATGAGGATGCTCAGAGTCTTGTCTGAGCAAGCTGAAATTCCACAAACTCTTTGGGCAACCTGTTTCATGGCTTAACCGCTCTTTTGCTCTTACCGTGACAAATTTTTTCCTTAAGTCCCACCATAATTTCCTGTGGTACTACTGGAGCCCATTGTTTCTTGTCCTTTCTCTGTGCCCCTCTGGGAAGATCCTCTTTCTCTCTTCTCCATAAACCCCCTTAAGACAGTGGAAAACCACACTTAGTTCCCCCTTAGCCTTCCTTCTCCAGGGTGAAGGAATCCACCGGCTTCAGCCCCTCTTTGTAAGTCCTCAAGCATGACGGAAGCTGGGCCTGATGCAGAGCCACTGGCAAAAGGAGAAGTCCGAGAAACGCTCCTTGAGCATCGTCCCTTCACTGCTCACCTCGCCACCCACAGACCCGCCGCAATGGCCACGGTGTGGGGACCCCTCCAGGGAAGACAGCTGAGCTCTCTAAGCGAAGAGCGAGCCACTGACGAGCTGTGTTGGCACGCGGTTGCCTGCGGGCTAACTTCTCTGCTCGCTGCCATAACCCTGCTCTCCCCATCAGCACCAGCCCCATCACCCCTCTGCCCCACTGCAGCCTACAATGCACTGTACACCAAAGACACAGTATTATTAATCTTCATCCCATGTTAAACCAAACAAGCCCACTTCCCTAACCAGGGTAAGAACAAGGCCTAGCTTTCTCCTGGCACTGTTAGGGGCAGGGGACTGTAGGAGCAATTATACAGCGCTTGTTTCGCTAAGAAACTGGGAAAAAACAATATACTGTTTAGTACTCAATTGCCCATTTTCCAGAACAATCTGAATTAAAATAAAGTTCTTATTTAAGAGTTAGTGTCAGTATTGCACTTCTTTTTCAAGGTATTAAACTGATGTGAGATCCTCTTCTCTGTTTTAGTTGGGGTAGAGTTTCAGATAAAACATCCAAACTGTGCTATAAATGAACAAGGAAAAAGAACTGGCTGCACATTAAAAACATTATGCAATCTAGCCAGAATAAAGTGGAATAATTGGAATTTAAAATTCCACTTTAGAAAGTGGAATTCTTTAGAAAACTGGCCAAGTTGATACTTTTAGTAAATATTTTGCTGCCTGTAGGGTTGTAGAGTGAGCAACTTTGGGTTTCTACCTTATACAAAAAGACAGTGGACAGAATGAGGTGCGTTATTTAACAGCACCAAATGTGTATGTAGCGTTTCTCAGGACAGATGAAGACATTAGCTATGTTATGGAGCTTACAACATGATTGCAGAACTAAAACAAGTGAGCTGGTACCACCAAATACGAGCAAGATGGTCTTGGGATTACCAGTGCAAAGCAAATACACAGACAGCTCTATGTGCCAAGTTGTGAACAACTCTTGCAAGATGTGGTAAAACTGGCTGGGCATCCAGCCGAGATGACAGCTGTGTGCAGCAATACGGAGCAGAACTTCAGAAAAAACTGCCAACTGGCTGTCATCTATAAATTGTGCCAAGAGTTCCCCACCCCTATGGTTTCCAAGCAGTAACATTAACAGTACCTTCAGCAGAGATTAATTGTTCCTTCACAATGGAAACACTGAGATTTAAGGACTTCAAACTCCGTTCAAGTATGTTGATAGCTGTTTTAAGCAGACTGTGAAAAGTACAAGCTATAATTTCACAATTGTGTTGAAGTTACTGAGATGTAACAAAGGAAGAAATCACACTCACAAGAAATGACCATGGAAAGTAGTCATGCAGGGATTCACATGTTTCAGCATTTTCAAGCTTCCTATTTTGAAGCCTTGAGAACGCCCTAAGAGTGTACAGCATGCCAAGGCAACTGCTGCAGAGTCTGAGAAAACTGAATCAGCCGGAAGAAGCGTGCAGAGATAAACAAGGTGCTGAATCTAAATTTCACAACCTATCTTATTCATTGAATTAAGGAAATATGCTGACAATTATTTTGCCACTGACCCACCTCTGCCATGATTTTATCAGTCTGCAGGATTGCTAGGTCACTGGTGATATATAGTCACTGAGTTACATTAACATATCCTGAACTCACATTTTCAAAGCTTCCCAATGTTCCTCCACACACTGAGAAGGCAAAGCTGAAAATGATAAGAACTCTGCTGATCACTATAAATGTTGCTGTTAGAATTTGCCCTGCTTGTTGGGCAATTGCACTGTGGGATATACTTAGCTTAGGGCTCGTTCAGCTCCATCTACGGAGCCAACAAGCCTTCCCTTTTAACATTTTTTTCTAGTTGTGGTCTCTGTTACAACATCTCAGCATACTGAGATATTCAATATATTGTTTAGATGTTGTTGGAAATGCATTTAAATGCTTCAGAGAATCATTCCAACACTATCTGGATTTACTGCTAGTATATTTATTTGCAATAAAGTGAATTCGATGACCTCACCACACCAACACAGTTGTTTGGAAGAAGAGCTGAGACCTATTCCATTAATCCTTAACAGCAAACAATATTGGCTGTCTGTCCATTTTTCAAACTTCGTCTGATGTTGGATGATATCTACCCTCATGCCCTCAAGCTCTAGTGAAATTCTATCACCTACACAAAATACAGATCAATTTTCTCTTTCATTGGGAGAAAAAAAGAAAGTACTCCAAAACCACGTCACTGTAAAATAGAAGTGAGATACACAATCCTATTCTGATCTCAGACATCCACTTCCTGGTAGTTTAAACATACAGCATAGGAATTACAAAGCACAGAAGGAACAGTTTTGTATTCTAATACTTCCTCGAAGTATTGCCTACTGCTTTTCTCAAGAAAGCTATCCATTACTTCTTTATTCCTAAGCAATGTAAAGAGCAGCAATAATCTGAAGCCCTTTTTCAATGTGGAAAATATTTTAAACCAGTGCTTAGGGCATCCCTACTGCAAAAAACAGGGAAGAAAGCCTGATTTTGTCAGAAGGGGGTTGAGCTTTGAGCAAGCAGTGACTCAGATCTCCTACAGCTGATTCAAATGTGTTTCTCATTCCAGTAGACCATTTTATTTTACTAAAAAAAAAACCCTCAACAAACCAAAACCCCTTAAACGTTGGAATACATAGTCGGAAACGGAGAAGTCTTTTTCCTCATCAACTCTAATTTTACTCATGAATGAAGCAATTGTGGTAAAAGCTGAATGGGTGTTCCTTCTGTAGTCTAATTTCTGGAAATATCTGAGAAGCTAAAAACATCTTGGGCAACTTCTGCTTCAAAAACACATAAGAAGTTCTCCTGGCTTTTATTAGGGCTTGAGCATGGAGGCATCCAAGAGGAAAATTTCAACACACAGAGAAATGTCTTGGTTTCTTGGTTTGAACACATTCCATTCTAGAGACAAGCTGTATTGATGTTTTAACTTTTGTTTAAATGGATAAATAACAACAAAATATAAAAGAATATAAATTTTAAAACAAAAAAACCCCAATAAAAACCTCAAAGCCCGCCCCCCCCGAGCTCTCCTGCAATCTCACTGACCTTCTTACATTCTTAGATAATTCAGTGATGCTAAATAATTCAGGTCTGTATGAAAATGGCTTTTAATATTCACAAGGCTTCTCCACTTTAAAAATCAGGCAGTTACTAAGTTGAATAATACAGGGATGTATGATAAAACAACAAACTTCTCACTTTTCAGCTGAAAATCTTCATTATTTTTTGATTCAGACAGGTGGGCAAGTAATAAAATAGTAACAAAGAACAAAAACTTATATACTAAATAAAACATACCTGGCTGTGAAAGAAAAGAAGTTTCCTTTGTAGTGTAGCCAACAATTCCTACTGATTCTGAGTCAAAATGTACTATTTTAAAAGGATGAACATATTTCATCATTTCATTCACTAATGAGGTATTTTTCCCCTTAATGTTTGCACTCAGGATTGTAAAATTGGCATTTTTAAGAAGAGGATCCAATAATCCGCTCACACCTTCATCAAACTCATGGTTTCCCAAAGCCTGTGAAAAGCAAGAGGAAAATACAAGACCCTATCTCCAATAGTCAGTATAAATACTCTCATAAGTTACATACAAAGGTATATTTGAGAAAACCAAGTCTACGTTCTAGGGGAGAAACCCCTATCTTACCTGAAACAGCACATTCCTGTTTCTCCCGAACACAGAAATGTTACTTTTTTTTAGGTTTGGGTTTTTGCTTTACAGACTTCTTACATCAATACAGATGTGAAAGTCAAAATCTAAAACATATCTAAATAAGTGTTTATATTCATATACCAGATTAAAGCCCACTAGTTTATCATCCTGTAACTGTGAGAGAGAAGATTAGAAATAACCACTGAGGGAAACATGTATTTTGTGTATGGAAAATACATTGTTTAAAAAACTAGTACAGAAAATGTTAAATGCCAATGACAATATTTGCTATCTTCAAATAAAACATGCACATTAACAGCTCGTGCTTGCACTACAGCTTTTTTTAACATATTTAATTCACATTTAGCAAGAGTTCTTGTGTGCTCTAACATGTAACAAGAAAATACAATTTTCTAGCCATCATCGATATTAATACCCAGTGGAAGCGCTAATGCTCATCGGCTAAGGAGAACCTCCACAGACAGTCCACAGCAGGTGTGTGCTCACGCTGAGAAGCACCAAGACTATCACAGAAAACGAGCAGTCCAGTTTATTTATTAGCATGGTAATACCAACAAGATGAGAATGTTTAGTTGTTTTAGGTTGGTAAGCAGACAGAAATTGACTTATCTTGAAGGATCATGGAACTTTCTCCTTCCTGCCCCTTTGTCATGCTCAGCCTAAGTTGCCGCATGCCTGTGCCTGCAAGTTTGGCGACAGCCAGCAAAACCTCCATAGATGGCAACTTTGCAGAAGCACAATATACAGAAAAAGCTTGTAGCATGTTTAGGTGTTAGTGAAGAAAAATATGCACCTATGGAACCATGGTAATAGTGAAACTTGGTACAAGTTTTGAGGTGGCAGCTAGAGCAGAGCATGACAGGGGTGCTAAAGCCAATGGGCCAACTCTTCCAGACGAAAGCGCGCTCATAATTTCACTCTGAAGATTAAGTGGGGAAAGTTACGTTTGTCACCTAAAAAGACTTATGCACATCTCTGCTCTACTTAGATACACAACTCCTATGTGTGTGTCCCAATTTTTATTCCCCAAACAGACTATGTTAACCCTGATCACATTCCAACTCAGGCAGGGCCCTGAAGCCACTACACACATGGAAGCTGACTATTTCAATCAACTGATAGGCAGTGTCTTTCTTTTCAGGGAGACAAAGACTCCTGACTCCTCTGGTCCCCAGAGGCAGGTAGTCAATGGCCCTGTGGAAAAATCGGGAAATCAGCAGTAACTTGCACTGGCAACCGCTGCTCCCACTGACATCAGTGAGAACACTATGTGTGCCACAGGGAAGCAGCCAAATCGTTTGCTTGCTACTGCTGCAGCGCTTTTCCAATAGAACAGAGAACTATCTTTAAGAAAATCTTGACTTGGGAAGACACAATGCGCTCCAAATGCATTCCATTTCTAACCGTATTCTAACTGCAATCTAATTTGCTGTAAAAAATAATTTAAAAAAAGAATAATACTCTAAGGAAACTCATTTTGATGCTGACTGATGTTTTCTGAAAAGATGTCCACGGACTGGTAAAGCATCTCAGAGAAAAAGGTTGAAAATGAAGTAAGAATTTGAATTGGATGTAACTGCCATTAGGTTGTTGTGAAAGAAAAACCTCCAACCAACCACTTATGAAACCTTGTTTCTCTTGGCTTTGTATCTTGCATTTGGATTATTTCATGTCCATTAGGATACAAGCTTTGATCAAAATTTTTCCCATGGTGTGGGCGGTTATAAAGTCCCTTGTTCATGAGAAATCACTGATGGCTAGTAATACAGTTTTATTTTTGACACATCTCCTCCTCTGGGGAGGAAGACGTGGACCGTTTGGGGTTCCTGTACTCTACCTGACTATCCTCAGGCCCAGAGCTTCTGGGACTCTGTACCTGTGCAATATCCATTCACCAAATCTGAATCTATTGGCCAACATAAGTGTAAGTCACAAGAGGGAATGAACAGAAATATTCAGGCACACGGCATATGATCATATAATCCTCCTTTTCACAAGAAACCAGGCTAAAAATATTTCAAAATCAGGATACAAATTAACAGAAGGATGTAACTTAAAATAAAACTAGAAGACTTCTATCACCCTTCCAATTAGTGCCTTTGCAGTACTTAATTTGAATTTTGGTGTTAATTACACCTAAAAAGCAAGGCTAGTGCCAAGAAAATTTAGAAAGCAATACCTAGCTAAACAGGAGAAAATAGGCTTGAGGTGATAACGGGCATAAATGAGAAAAGGGCAAACCTGTAAATGGAAATCTGTCCCATTCGTGGAACAAACCTCTGAGGCAGCCAGGCTGCCCTAAACCCTCCTGCGGCTCCTGCCCCCATCCTGTAACAACTCCTATGACTCACGTTCCCTCTGTCATCCTGGTTGTAATCCTACTCCTGTATCTCACTTCTAACCATCGCGGGAATCCCCACCCGTTCTGTTAGGGATGTGACTTCCCAAATTTTGCTTAAAGAAACACTAGCTCACCCTTCTGCAGCGTGGCTCTCACCCTGCTCCCAGTGCCTCCCCCGGCCACCACCCCTGCTGCGCGGTCCCCATGGTCCACGGACAGAAGAATTCAAACGGGTGCTGCAGCACTGCTCAACACTCAGCAACACTGTCCCCAGGCTCTTTGGTAGCGGAGAAAGGTGCTGACGCCTCTGTAGCTTCTCAGTCTATCCTGTACCCTTCTACTTGCTGACAATATTCAAACTACAATATGCAGCACCTCTACAGAAAGCGAGTGGTTGAGTACTTCACCTAAGGCGTCAGCACCCAGAACAAGCCTCTGGATACCCAGTACGGTGTGGATTTTCTTTTTTTTTTAAATCTTATTTGGATGAAAAAGCCCATGAGATCTCCTAACCAGTCTGCAGGTGCTTCCTACATAACGTGTTTCTAAAACTGAGCACTAGTTCAACATTGCTGATATTGCCTGAAAGAATTTCTTCTTGTGATATGGGCAGGAACTGGATAAGCTCCCAGTCTGCCCATGAACCAGTCAAACCAGCAAATGCAAGGCTGAGAAGTGACAGCCAGCAGCAAGCTTTAGGAAGAAAGGTAGGAAAAAACACCTTGAGCTAATTCTGCACTGCAGAACCCCAAAGTGCTCCCCAGCTCTTAGTGAGGGCAAGTCCCGACTGCATGCACTCCTTCCCTCCGTCACCATTGGGAGGAAAAACCCTGCTAATGTTAATTTTGTGATTAGGAGACTGTTCGTTAGGTCATGTGGGCAGCGAGCAGCATCCTTCACAGATCTGCCTGTCTGGTATGAAGTGTATTTAGCCCAGGAGAGTGCACTGGGGCATTCCCTTCCCATGGGGCAGAGAGCAGAAACGAGTAAGACCATTTTTACCTGGGAAAAGACAGTCCTTTCCAGAGCAACCAAAAAAGGTGAAGACAGAGAACATGATATGCACAGAAGACTTTCCCCTCAAGCTGTCAGTTGGGGTGAAATAAACACCCAGTCACTCTCAAACATAACTTTAATCTCTCTCCTCCCTGCCGGGGTTGTATGCAAGCAAAATAAGCCACGATAACTCTCTCTATATTAATAGGCTATTGCCCTGAGGCGGAAGATTTAAGGACATGGAGTGACATCCCCTAATCTCAGTCCCAAATTCTTCTACCTTCCTCTCAGCACTCGGACGACCAAAGAGGCCACGTGAAGGCGTGGACCTGGCGCCGTCTCAGAGACGCCCTGCTGCAGTCCCCGGGCCACTCGCACACGGCCCCTCGCACCCCGCCACGACCGCAGCTCTGGTGGGACTGGGCGCGACCAGTGCGGGACTGATGAAAACTAAAACCGCTCACCCTTCGAAGCAGCGCTGCCGACGTGTGCCATGGGTCCCTTCCCGAAGGACCAAAGCCTCGGCCAGGGCTAACCCCTTTGTCGCAGGCCAGGCTCCCTGCCCGGCTTTTGCCAGGCT